CCATGTCTATGTTCTTCCGTTCCATCGGATCCATGGCTCGCAGTCTACCTGAGGCTCTTGGTCCTGCCGCTGTCATCATTTTGGCTCTTATTATCTACACCGGTTTCACCATTCCCACCGTTGACATGCACCCGTGGTTCCGCTGGATCAACTACATCGATCCCGTCGCCTACGCGTTCGAGTCGCTCATGGTGAACGAGTTCTCCGGCCGCGGGGTACGAACCGCGTGCACGGAATCTTTAGAGGTGGTAACGATAGCTCCTCCATTTAAGAATAGCTCTTATGATCTAATGGCAAATCTAACAACTCTAAGTCACTCATTTTTACCACAATTGTCACATTTATGACAGTATTTGAAGAGTATTATGGATTTACGCATTGGCATTTGTGCGGCCTTGGCAATTCTTGGCAATTCTTAGCAATATCCTTAAGATCTAGATATATCCCTAGATCCTAAGGATAGGTCATAGGCCTTAAGGATAGGATATATCTAGATCAGTATCTAGATCAGCTTAGGTCATGTACGATCCGCGCCTAACACTAAGGAGGGAGTTAAAGGCTCTATATATACCTAGATTATAAATTCTAGACTATTCTATATAGATATATTTATAAGCATTTATAAGCATCTCAAATTCTCTAGAAGTTTGTAGAATTCTCTAGAAACATTTCATTTTTCTTATCTTATCTTATCTTATTGTTTATCTAGAACCATACCTAAATAGGTAATACTAAGCCTAATAAGATATAGATTATAATCATGATTATAATCATGACTAATGTATTTCACAAGCGAATGGATCACACAAGCAAGAGGATCACTAAACTTCCTACCTAAAATCGAGAAATTTACAAGATAATAACTCAACAACAACTTCATAATATCTCCATATTAAAAATGTATTTCCAGCCTTTACTATTCAGTTAAATTCCTACCTAATCATTTAGGAATAATCTATTTAGTAGTTCTTAAGATATTAAGTTTAAGCACTGAAATTTAGACTAGGTCTTTATATTTTAATATCTACTAGTCTAATTGCTTTAAAGCTTAGTATAAAGGAGTCTACATGTATATATAAGGCTACACACACATTTTCAGAATATATTATGAAGTTGTTGTTAAGTTATTATCTTGTAAATTTCTCAATTTTAGGTGGGAAGTTTAGTGATCGCTTCGCCTGGGTGATCGCTTCGCCTGTGAAATACGTTAAAATATAACGTGCATGTATAATGAAAGTGCCAAACAAGCGAAAGTGCCAAAATATCGCGACTACCCCATAAGAATTGCGATAAATCCACCACAACAATATAAATTAATTAAAACTACTCGGAGTCCTCTTCCTCAGACCTGTCTATTACAATCTGACAAGTGCGCGCATTGTGTCCAGTCTCACCACACTTACCACAGCGACGTGCATGGGTTTCTTCCCTTATTTCTTGCTCTACTTGCTGCACAACGTCCCTCTCGTCCTGTAGCTCCTGTGCTACCTGTGTCACGGTTCACCAAGGCATAGGGCGCCAGTTGGGTATTATGAATTAAACTCAATCTAGAGAAGAAAGGAAAGAGAAGAGGAGCACTCGAGCAGTGGCTCGATCTATATACAGCTATGTTGTTGTGGAGTGAATTCTCTTTAGCGAGACCAGTTCTGAGAGTTCACTCCACAACTGAAAACTTCGCTCCAACCCCGGAAAGATCCCCACACCCCTGAACCCCCACTCGAGTTGCAAGGCGCACTTGATATCATAACAACCTGTTGACTAAGTGATCCTCCTTGCTGTAGTCGTGTTTTTTTAGCTCTCCGGCGCTTGCTTAATACTTCATTTGCCTGTCGCAGGTTTTGGTTCTCTGCTTTTAACAATGCTAATTGATGCATTATTTGCGATGCACCCTTTGTAAACTGGTCAACAGCTGCATAGATTGAGGTTGGAGAGCTATTTTGATGATGCGCAATTCGGTTTTTAATGAAAGTAGACTGTGATACAGCTTCAGTTGGGTTATTTGGTGTCTGAGAAACCCATGGTTGAGCGGTGTTTGGGCGAGAGGTTGGAGGTGTTGGCGTCTTAAACCTAAGGTCAAGTGTAGATATTACACTCTCAGGGCTAAATGGAAGAAGCCCAGCACCCCGGAACCCTCCCTGAATATTGCTTTCTGTCATTGCAATGTTAAATGCAGCGTGGAAGGCAGGAAAGAAGTCATCCTTAGTAATGTGAATAATATGAGCCCGCATCATATCTTCAATTTGCCGACCGTAAGCTTGCTTTAATGGGCCAAAACAGCCAACATCAAGTGGTTGGAGTATATGGGAAGAGTGAGCAGGCATACAAAGCATAATAATGTTGTGTTCTTTGCAGTACTCCTCAAACTTGTCTGAGTGGTGGCTCTCATGACCATCAAGGACTAAGAAGCGATAACCACCAACACTCTGGGGCTTTGTGTGCTTCTCAAAATGCTGAATCCAATCCATACCTCTCTCGTTTGTAGTCCAGCCATTTGCAGTAACAGCGATTACCCAATCTGCTGGAAATCCGCTATTCTCATACCAAGATGCAAGGTGGTTTTTACCTGCCACAATGACAAATGGCGGCACTGCCCAACCTTGAGAACTAACGCCTTGGATTACTGTAACCCATTCCCGATTGCCAGGCTGCACCTTTTTTGCCTTTGCCCGCCCATCTGAGCTCGTTACTACTGTTGCGCTTGAGGTGACGCCCATCATAAATCCAGTCTCATCAAAGTTGTAGATATCTGCATTGTTGATGCCATACTTTAGAATTGTGTTCCATACAAGCTCAAACCAGCCACGAATGACTTCTGGATCTTCGCACTTAGCCCTCTGGTAGTCGTATTTTTGCTGGAAGCGTGTCCGGAGCTCTACATGGCGCTTAACAAAGTTTGAAGCCCAACGTGACCCGACGCGTGGCGCGTCGCGTGTTGCAAGTAGTCGATTTGCCATATCTTCAACAATAGACAACTGAGGAGGGAACCCTTTAGCAGCTAAGTCAAGTATATACTGAACAAGAACTGATTCCTCTAGGTTACTTAATTTCCGTAAGTTGGCTTGGATATCGCGTCGTGAAGGTACGCCTTGTAAACGGTGACGTAGCTTGCGGTGGTCTACGGAATAGATCCTAGCTGCAACTCGAAGGCGCAAATTTGGGTCGCTTTGCATAGCTTGGATAGCTAGCACTAATTTGCTTTCATCATTTTTATGGCGCATGTTTTGTTGTGGAGGAATTTAACATTTAGTTGGGGGGGTTGGTCACCGCATGATTTTGGCACTTTCGCTTGTTTGGCACTTTCGTTATACATGCACGTTAAAGACGAGTATTGTTAACCGGCGCCGTAGGCGCCGGTTTGTAAGCCGCCTGCCGTGAAGCCACGTAAGCACGTTATTGGGTGTTGGTCACGTGACCACGACGCGTAAACCCAGTAATATTACCAACCCCTCCAAACCCACCTTCTTTCTTCTTCAACAACGCGACGATGACCTCCACCAACCCCGCCACCGCCGAGGCTTCTGGCCTCAAAGCCACTGGTAAGTTCAATTTGTTTCCTTTCCTTCTGTTTTGTTTGATTGATTACTGTATACTAACCTACGTGTCATACTGACATTCGTTGCACTCAGTTTGCTATCAAACTCAAGAGCAAACTTAGAAATCTCCTCCTCAAACCTACAAGTCACCATACATATCTTGGCTTATCACACCAACAACAGAAGCAATACTACTCAACGATTGCTGCAAACTCTTCTACTACATCTGTTTATGCTACATACATCACGGCATATCATTTGGACACTCATTGAACAAGTTATTAAGAAAATCTCCTCCTTAAGGGGGTGGGCCAATACTACCACATGGCATATCTCTACCAACTAGAGGCCTAGGAACATGAACGATAGCTCTAGAAGCTTCTACAACCCTCTATGATTCATTACACGTCATCGCTCCTTAGTTACCCACAAGATTGGTTAAGTTATGACATAATTTGTCTATAGGTACTCTGACCTTGGACCTCCTTTTCACTTCCTATAGGCTAGGAACCCAAGAGATGGTTCTATGGGATTCTCTTACGTTCACTACATGATTAGCAAGCTAGTTGTGGGTCGCACTTGATTTCTAATACATTTACCAAGCCTGGTTAGTCATGGAAAGTCATGGAAAATGAGAGAACTACACTCCTTTGGCATAAATAGGATTGCCCTTTCCTTAAGAAAGGGCAAGCAGGCAATACAGTAAATCGACTAGCACATACTGCTACGTCTTTTCCAAGCTTCCAAGCATTGATCTTGTTATTCTCTGTTTTTGAAAAGTCAGTGAGGTGCTAACCTCTGACTTACCCCTGAGTTCTCAGGCTCAACATTTGTTGCAACTTGTCTAAACCACTTCACCACATCATACACCTGATTGCTGCATTGTGGAATAGTCTAAGCTACAAACAACCCTTTGGCTCTGTTTCCTAAGACAGTGTGTTGTCTTAGTAAATTCATCCCTTCCTTGGGTGGCTAGATTCTCATATCTGGTGCACCCACCATTACACTACGGATAGATGAAGCTCCCGCTCCCGCAACCACCACCTCACCAACCACCACCTCCACCACCACCACCGAGTCTGGCGCTGCACCAATGGCTACCAGTAAGTAACACCCCTCCCTCCGATAGATAGATGGATACTAACAACTGGATAGAAGAAGCTGCGTCCGAATCAACTGTCCCGGCCGCGACCCCACCCGCAACCTCCTCCACGGCGACATCCACGGCGACATACACGGCGACCTCCATGGCGACCGCAACACCCACCAGTAAGTAACACCCCTCTCCCCGCAAGATAGATAGATACTAACAACTGGATAGCTGAGGCTGGATCCGAAGCTGTGCGTCCTCCTGTGTCGTCTCCCGTGACGCCCGCACGCCCGTCCACAGCTACGGCCGTAAGAAGTAAGTAACACCCCTCCCCCGTCCGTAAACATTAGAGATCAATACTAACAGTATGTATAGGTTCACCGCGTCCGATTGTGCTCGACTCCCCGACTCCGCAACAGCAGATGGCGCTGCAGCTGCTGCGCTCTAGCCTCCTGGAGGAACCCCGTCGCTCCCGCGCCCTTGCAGCTGTGCTCGCCCTCCCTGACGCCCGCCACTTGGAATTTCGCGCCCTCGACTCCTCCGACCTGCCGAACCTCGCGAGGATGCAGAACCTCGAGGCGGCCGTAGGGTTTACGGTCGGCGAGCTTGTCCAGCCGCCGTGTACTGACTGCGCGGCCGGATACGGCCAGTTTGCGGGTTGTGTCCGGGCGGAGGGGCTCCTCCATGGGAGCTGCACCAACTGCCACTTCGGTGGCGAAGGCGCGCGCTGTTCGCTCCGTGGTAATTTTTCTCTCCCCCTCTTGTTTTGGTTTCTGTACTAACATGGATGGAATAGCCTCTGCGGTCCCCTTGTGTAATGGTGGGTGCACCAGATATGAGAATCTAGCCACCCAAGGAAGGGATGAATTTACTAAGACAACACACTGTCTTAGGAAACAGAGCCAAAGGGTTGTTTGTAGCTTAGACTATTCCACAACGCAGCAATCAGGTGTATGATGTGGTGAAGTGGTTTAGACAAGTTGCAACAAATGTTGAGTCTGAGAACTCAGGGGTAAGTCAGAGGTTAGCACCTCACTGACTTTTCAAAAACAGAGAATAACAAGATCAATGCTTGGAAGCTTGGAAAAGACGTAGCAGTATGTGCTAGTCAATTTACTGTATTGCCTGCTTGCCCTTTCTTAAGGAAAGGGCAATCCTATTTATGCCAAAGGAGTGTAGTTCTCTCATTTTCCATGACTTTCCATGACTAACCAGGCTTGGTAAATGTATTAGAAATTAAGTGCGACCCACAACTAGCTTGCTAATCATGTAGTGAACGTAAGAGAATCCCATAGAACCATCTCTTGGGTTCCTAGCCTATAGGAAGTGAAAAGGAGGTCCAAGGTCAGAGTACCTATAGACAAATTATGTCATAACTTAACCAATCTTGTGGGTAACTAAGGAGCGATGACGTGTAATGAATCATAGAGGGTTGTAGAAGCTTCTAGAGCTATCGTTCATGTTCCTAGGCCTCTAGTTGGTAGAGATATGCCATGTGGTAGTATTGGCCCACCCCCTTAAGGAGGAGATTTTCTTAATAACTTGTTCAATGAGTGTCCAAATAATATGCCGTGATGTATGTAGCATAAACAGATGTAGTAGAAGAGTTTGCAGCAATCGTTGAGTAGTATTGCTTCTGTTGTTGGTGTGATAAGCCAAGATATGTATGGTGACTTGTAGGTTTGAGGAGGAGATTTCTAAGTTTGCTCTTGAGTTTGATAGCAAACTGAGTGCAACGAATGTCAGTATGACACCTTGGCGCCCATTACGGGTAGTCCTTCAGAACGTTCAGGTAAGTCCCCTCCCTCCCTTATTGTTTGCAGTCCGTAACTAACTTGTAGAAGGTCTACGTGCCCGGCGCCCTGCTGCATCGGCCGCCTCATGCTCCACCGAGGCGCTTACGGGTGGGGTGGGCCATGGCCTAAAGCGGCCCCCCCCCCAGCTGAAAGATCTGCGCTCGTTCCGCCGCGCCCGCACGTCGTCGCCCGCTCGCGCTGCCGCCTCCCGCGTGCCTCCCACCCGCCGCCCTGACGACCCCTACTATGTTGGGAATGAGGAGGACCCCACCCACACCCTCCATGCCTGGATCGAGCGTTTCCGGGCCGCAAGCCCGGCCTCCTGTAGGAGGCTCCGCCTGGGGCACACCCTTGCCGGGGTGGCGATGGATTTCGTCACCTCTACCGAGGCTGCCCCTCGCGGGACCTTCTATACGGAGGTCGTGGTAGGGCCAAGGTCAGAGGAGGAGGAGGATGGAGAGGGATAGGGAGGGGAGGAGGGTGAGGAGGAGGCCTAAGGGCCGTATATTCATGTAAAGTAGTGTAGAATAGTAATTGACACGCCTACGGGCAATGAACCTTGTTTTATTTCTTGTAAAAATGTGATTAAAGTAACTGGTAGATGATTACGGACGTTTACGGATGGTGTTTAAACCCGTAAGCATATTACGGACGAAATCCAAACCTATAAATGCCCGTAACCACCCGTAAATAAAGTTAAGGTAAGCAGTAGAATAGTAGTATAGATAGTATTTCTAATTAATATCACATAATACCTCTGGATATACAACGTTAGGTGTAGTGTTATCGTCACCTTCCAGAAGTAGAACGTGTAAGCCAGCTACGGATGACGTCCGTGACATTGCAACGTAGAATTGCCCGTGACTAAATGTAGGTGCCCGTAAATCAACTCCAACAAACTTAAATGACTGGCCTTGAGACTTATTAATAGTCATTGCAAAACATAACCAGACTGGAAACTGTTTACGGGTAAGGATATATCGTAAGTCCCCCTCGTTCGTCTAGAGCTTTACCCTCGGAATCGTCCGTAGCTGCCCGTAAAATTGTTCTCCAAGTAAGCGGACTGCAAGACAGTGCTGTGTTATGCTTAAAACAATCATACGTGACCCGTTACATAATCCTTCCTGCGGAACTATATTCCGTAAGAGCATTACAGGTACCCCAACCTTAAGCTGCAGAAAGGATAATGGTAGCTGGGCGGGTGAGCAATTCTGAAGCTCCTCAACTGGGACATGATGAAGATTGCCACCTCTATCATTAATGTCTGCAGTATCAATGGATAGTAAGGTTCGTACTGGACCTGGATACCGAGACAGTATAAGAGCGTTAAGGTGTAATACGGTCTCATTATGGACCGTAAGAATAGCCCGGTCCGTAAAGAGATCTTCTACATGATTATGCGGCCGTAATACATTATCTGGGTAGATTGCAGCAATAAGGCCATCTAATTCCTTTAACTGTGTAATATACGGCGGTATTAGTATTATGCCATTAAGTTGCGGATCGTATGGTATTCTCCCAATCCACATAACAAATTCCTCATCAAGCACCCCACCTCGGACACGCATATTAACCCGTAAATGTAGCCGCCGAAGCCGTGGCCATACAAATGAGCACTGTAAACAGGCTTGGACAATCTGCGCTCGAGAACCCTGAGGCATTACGGGTAGAATCTGTGCAAAATCGCCACCGAGTAATACGGGTACGCCACCAAAGAGAACATCGTCCGTAACGGACCGTAAATCGCATAGAAGCCGGTGTACTGCCTCAAAGCAGTATTTATGTTGCATGGGAACCTCATCCCATATAATAAGGCCAGCCTCTTGTAATTGCATGCCGAGCCTTGAGTTGCGGGTTATAGAACAACACGTCTTACTATCAAGTTTTATAGGAATCTTAAACTGATGTACACCCGTTAGGCAGTAATAAGGCGGCAATTCCGGTTGAAGCAACACAGAGTACTGACTTCCCCTGCGCACGGAAGTAATGACATAGAGCCTTATATAAAAAGGTCTTTCCAGTTCCCCCAGGGCCCTGTAGGTAGAAGTGGGCTGTTTGCGGATCACCTTCAATAGCCGTACAGATCGTACGGAAGCACGTAAGCTGGTCTAGGTTTAGTTTCAAGACTAAATCATCTGCAAGAGCTGTCTCTATAACTGGATCAAAGCCTCGGCCTACATACGGGAGCCTTACGGACCATCCGTATTGCGGGAGTGGTAGGTTGAAGTCCGTAAGTGACTTTCCAATGTCCGTAAGGCCAACAGATAGTAGGTATAAGCCGTAATCAAGGTGTGACTCCTGTAGCGAGCTTATGGAAACACTCCTACGTTCGAGCTCTCGTAGTAAGTCGTCACAAAGGTGCTCCTTGAACCGATTCCAAAGGAGAAGCGGCTCAGCCATCATCTCCATCCGTAGACCTGTAAGAAATAGCATCCGTAACCCATGACCACTCGTAAATATAATAGCCTCATTAAAGCATTCGACCCATTCCTGGTCATTTTCAACTAACCCGCGGGCAATACAGGCCTGGTGATAAGTTTCATGACAAATACCATCATATGTACGGAGGTCCGTAAATGACGTTGAGCCCCGGACTACAGTTAATAGCATCCGTAAATAGAACCGTTCGCCAGCCGTAGGGCTACAATGGAACATATGGCCGATATTCCGATCCATTCCCCTTTGCCGGGGCTTCCATTTACGGATCCGTTTGTCCCATACAAACTGCGAAGGGAACTCAGAGTATAATAAGGACTGACCATCCTCATACGTAGCGTTATAACGGAAGAACCCCATTAACGTACTATCCGTAGAGTTAAGCTTTGCAGCAAGCTCTTGGGAAGAAAGATTTTCTGGAAAGTACACTGGCTGTTTGTGCTCTAAATGGATTGAAAGCTGCGTTACGGGTGGCCATTCACCATGAGTTGGATACTCAAATAGGCGCCATATAGCCTCTGCAGACCCAATATACCGGCCTTGGATATAGCGGTCAATCTCATCATTAGACTCAACCGCAAGTGTAGTACGGTCAGAGCCCTTATAGATATATTTATGAATATATTTAACAGCTTGTACAGTACTACATACTTCAACGTTCATATGACAACGGTATTTCTGAAGTAGATACGGGTTGTATGGAACTACCCACTGGTTATTACGGACGACGTTTTCAGTCCGTAAGCCTGGCCGTGGGACCGTAAACGTCCGGCCATCATTGCGACGCCTGTATTGAGGGTATCCCTCCTCGGTAACAATAGTAGCAGGTGCAAATGGCTTTGGGAACTGTTTCGTACATCGTAGCGGTGATGCAGGTGATTTACGGGCCATACACGGTGCCCGTAAATGATCATCTCCACATGGCCCATGGGTCATTGTGGAAATTATCACATCCGTAAGCTCGCCCGTAACATCCCAAGCTGGATCCGGGAGCTCTGCGCAGACCACCTCATCAATTAGGGACGGAACGTTAAATTGGAACCCCTGAATGAAGAGTAATAGGTGCATATGTGGTAGGCCCCGTTTCTGATACTCAATAGTATATACGTGGCCGACATACTGCCCAAGCACACCATCCTTAAGGTCCGTAAGTAGGCTACGGACCTTTAGGTGGAATACTCGGGCAATAAGATCCAGCCGATCCGTAGCTTGCTGACCTGGAAACAGTGCATTTGTAACCTCTGGCCATTTTGGATTAGCCGTAAAGGTGATAAAAAACGTAGGCTTTCCAAAGTGGCGTACAATAGCCATCGAATCCTGATAAAGGCGCTGCATTGCACGATCACTACCCGTAAAGCTTGAAGGTAATACAACGCGATGGCCGAGACTATCCATATCAACGTCGTCGCGAGAGATAGCGTCAGCTAAGCCACTGTACACATCTGAACGGATGGATTTTTGGTTGTTACGGAGCCAACTTAGGGCCGTAGACTCGCAAATCACCAAAATATCAACCGCAAACTGCTGGAAGAGGCGCCCAGCATAGTGTAGAGTATTAAAACACTCGTTACGGGTGAACATGTAGAAGCGGTAGAATGGTCTTTGCTCTAGCCGCCGTTGCTGCCGTGGACCGTTATTCTCCCGTAAGGTAAGACCCCAATGCCACCCGTATTCACCAAAGACAAATAAGAGCACGTAGTGGAGTGGCATATAAGAGGCATGCGTAACATGAACCTTTGATAGCTGCCGCCGCCCGTTTGAAGTGTTACGGAAGGCTAATACCAAGTCTCGCGGACCGGAATCTCCTAGCTCGTCCGGAATAACAGCTGCAATCTCATCACTTGTTGGTAGGTTCTCGCGGCGCTTATCAGCACCACTCTTGACTATAAGACGCATCTGCGGGTTGAGTATGACCCGTTGCGGACTATTACCATCCGGAACAGCCGCAAGTCGCTCCCGAGCTGTCTTATATATGTGGATAAACGGATTATGGTCCGTAAGCAGCTGTAGTAACTGGCTAAGAACCGTAGAATCGAGTTGCGGGTGCTGTAATCGATGGGCTTCTGTAGCATAAGAAGGGTCGTAAAAGAAGAGCTGCGCAAAGGTAGGGGTTTCCTGGGTATTAGGCTGTAACGGGCCCTGGTAGTGGAATAGCTCGCCGTGGATCTGGAAACTCTGTATTCCAGAGTTCTCATTAATCCGTGAATCGCGAGTATAGCTTACGGAAGTAAAAGCCAAGGCATTGTTATATTCGCGGATCTCCTTACGGAAGGCCCTCCCTCTTGGGTCTTGGTCCGTAAATAACTTCCGTAAATATAAGGGGGGCATCCGTAACGTCGGAAGGTCTACATCTCCTTTCTTGCAGCATATCTCATACTGCTTATCCTGTGTAGTCTCTTCTATCCAGTGCAGGGCAGCGCAATATTCACACTCATGGTTAAGCCGGCCAAGGTTATGTGGAGTAGCCTGTATAAAGGAAGAGAGAAAGCCAGGCGGCTTAGAGTTACGGACCGCAACGGGATCCTCAATGACTGTAGACTCCGTAGGGTGTGGTAATATAGGTTGTGGCTGTCGTGGCGGCCGACCACGACAACGCCTTTGCGGTTGCGGTTGAATAGAGTCCGTAACGGGGGGTGGAACGTCCGTAAGAG